GTGTTACATAACATTTGTCCTGTTGTTTTGACTTAGCTCACTCCAGATGTTCTCAAAACTCATCTATGTGTCATTTCTCTTTATCACTAATATCCCGTTGCATGTGTACTCGAAGGCATCCCATATTTTGTTTTTTCACTCATCTGTTGATGGACCCTTCAGGTTGTTTCTTAATGAAATTTGGGAAACAAGTTTTGGTTTGTGTCCCTGCTTCCAGTGTTTCTGGGAGTGGGCTACATACCTATGATTGTGTTTTATGGATAAACCGGTCGTTCTACACTTAAGTTTTTTGTTTTCCTTAGCAATTGTACCATTTTGCATTCTCACCAAGCAATGGTGGTGGGCTCCAATTTCAGACGGGCTCTGTCTCAGCATTTCTTTGGTAGAAAGTGGTCTCTATTGATGGTGCCCTGCAAAACCAGCTGAGGTCAGTTAAGCCTATTTAGGACAGTGAGTAAGCACCGTTCCGATCCATTTGGAAGCTGTCTTCATAAGTTTCATCTTTCTACACACTGTCCTGGCACGTGGAAGGTGCTGGCTATGTAATTACATACCATTAGGCCCACACAAAGTGGAAGGCTATTCTATTGAAAAGCTAGCTTTCTATTTCATTAAAATGATATGACTTCCTTGCTGCTCACATTTAATCAATAATCACAGAGAAACTACTAAGTACCAAGTACTGTAGGAAGTGCTACGTGTATTTTATTTATCCCCCCGTCTAATCCATTCTCAAAGGTTTATGCTTTGCCTCAAAAATTATATTGCTGAAAGTATACTCTAAATTCCCAAAGAGAGATACTAAGTTGATTTTGCACAAAAAAAGCATCATTGGAAGAAGTGCTTACCCTGATACTGAAATCATATTAACAATGCACCAGAGAGCTGAAAAACAGAGATGCAATGAGTCCTTATTTTTTCCTATCACAATGAGAATTTGCACATAGGCTCTCTAACCATGAATTTACTTGTATTGATGGCCCTCTACAGCTAGAGACCGAGAGACCTACTTAGGGCTGTCCTCTAAGCTAACTAAGGAGCCCCGGTAGTGCTGTTGGTGGTTACTTACTGGGTTGTTAACTGCAAGGTCAGCAGTTTGACTCCATCAGTCTGTCCACAGGGGTGGGGTGGGGCGGGGGAAGGAGGCTCTCTGCTCTCCTAAAGACTCACAGCCTCAGAAACACAAAGGGGCAGTACTACTGTGCCCTATGCAGGGGTCCTCAAACTATGGCCTGCGGGCCACACGCGGCCGGCCGAGGACATTTATCCTTCCCGACGGGTGTTTTTGCCCCATTTTGTTTTTTACTGAAAAATAAGATATGTGCAGTGTGCATAGGAATTTGTTCATAGTTTTTTTTTAAGCTATAGTCCGGCCCTCCAACTGGTCTCAGGGACAGTGAACTGGCCCCCTGTTTAAAAAGTTTGAGGACCCTGCTTTAGAGCATTTTGATGAGTCAGAATCGACTGGCTGTCAGGGGTTAAGAGTTAACTTGTTGCATTCTTTCCCAACTCAGACTTTGGCTCCTCTCCTTTGATCTGAAAATATTTAAAACTGCTTCCCAAATCTGAATGTAACACTATTTGAAGGTAAATGTCCATTCGCTGTTATGTGCGTGACCAGAAATGTTTTGCTCGTGTATATAATTTTCCATCTAGGGCTTTGAGGGTGTGTGGCGTTCCTGTTCCTAAAGGTCCTAAGTATTCTAATAGATGTGCGAATGCTAACATGCCACCCAAAAGACGGTGCCATGTCTGAAGAACATACACTATTAATCAGGTGCCAAAGAGAAAGTGTGTGACATGCTATTACATAAGACCGTGGCTAGAAAAATGCAGTATGCGACAGATGGAAAGAAACACTACCTTTGTTAACTGGTTTGTTTTAAAATGCTCTTAATAAAATGTATCCGTAAAAAATCTGTAAGCCACTCTGGTTTGTTAATGTAAGTTAAAGTGCTCCCATGCAGACTGTAGGGCATGGGCACAGGGCAGGGTTACCTGCCTCTCAAAAACACTCCATTTTCCAGTGATCGCATTGCTGTCACTTCAACCCTTTGAGTCTTTAAGCCGTGGACCTTCAGAAGACCCGAAGACCTAAATTACTCTGGAGTGTGGTAGCGTGCAGAACTGCCTCTTGAGGAGAGTACGTTGGCAGTTTTTCTACAAACTCCATCCATGTAACTTCTGAACAACATAGATCAGTTGAAGGAATGTTATTGGATGTGTCGTGAATGTAAGCTGAGGTTAAACATACTGCAAACGAAAATGGGAAATATTGCATGTATTAGTTATCAGAAGGAGCCCCAAAGGCACAGTGGTTAAAGTACTTAGCTGCTAATCAACATGTTGGTGGTTTCAGTGTACCAGCTGCAGTGTGGAATATAGCCAGGGTAATCTGCAATGGAGAGGTTCTAGTTTGCCCTATAGGGTCCAGCCATAAGTCTGCATTGACTTGATGGCCGTAGAAGGGATGCCACAGGGGGAGAATTAATAATGCTCTCTAACATTACATGACAAGGATGTCTCTGAGGTGGAACCAGAGACATATATAAACCACAGATGCATGAATGGATTTGGGGCTTGCGCTTAAGTCTAGCCCCATTCAAAGAACAGTTAGGTCTCCTGACAGCCCTGCTTGATACTCTACCTCATGAAGAGATCACTGAAGATATGGGTGCTCTAGCAGGGTGTGGTGAAGAAATCAGATGGTGCCTGGCTATCAGAAAGAATAGCATCTGGGGTCTTCAAGGCCTGTTTTCAAACAAGCAGCCATCTAAGTGAAACATCAACTAAGTCCACATGGAAGAAGCACATCAGCCTGTGTGATCCAAGATTGTAAATAATTTAATCCAAATCTAAAGGAGGGTACATCACCAGAGCTTAAATTGTGAACAGCTGGTTTGCAGAAGGCTATGAATAACCCGGGAAGCCCCAAATCCATTTGGGTGGTCCACTCATGGATTAATCCTCTGGTGAGTCCCCTCTGATCATACTTGAGGAAGTAAATAGCCTTGTTACCAGACAGCATTGTAAAGTAGATTACGGCAGATGATATTAGGTTAAAATGCAATATGTAATCTCCCTTTAGACCTATTTTAAAGCTGTTGCAGTGCCAAAGCTGTTGTGATTTAAAAAAAAAAAAGTGAAGGGGAAATGCATGTGGATTAAGCCCCTGCTGAATCCCCACTGACCATGGACCAGGGGTGTAAACAGCCTTGCTAACATGCACAATGCATTAGAAAGTGGAAAATTGCAGAAGCAGTTAGATAAATTTTATCTTCCTTTATCTTCATTTATGTTTGTTCTAGTTTTGGAGGATGAGGGGCAAGGAGAGATCATTTTAAGGCATTCAAGAAGAAAGAATGTTTGACACTGACTGTGGTGGCATTTGTACAATACTGCTCAATGTGACTACTATGGGATGATTATCTCTATTAGCTCCCAATAAAAAGGTTTTAGAAAAAAATCATTTGTTCAATTTTTAAATATTTTCTGATTTCTTTTAGACTGAGTTTTTTATCTGCTTTACTTTGTTATTCTGTATTTAAAATTCAGGCTGCGTAAATCTATAGAGATGATAACTGGTATAACTGTTCCTTGGGGGTATGGCAGGGAGATGAGGCATACACGGGGAGCTAATAATGATGAGAACAAGAATGAAGAAAGTGTTCTGAAACGGACTGTGGTGCTGATTGTACAACTCTTCTTGATGTGATACGTGAATTAGATGCCAATAAAACAGTTGGGGCTGGGGAGAGGGAGGCTGTCTGTCCCATGGAAACTGTATGGGGACAATTACACACTGTCCTGTAGCTTCACTATGAGGCCAAATCAACTCGATGAAGGTGGGCTTCGTTTTGTTGTGGTGGTTGTTAGATGCCATTGAGTCTGTTCAGACTCACAATCACCTCATTTATTTACAACAGAATGAAACACCGCCCGGTCTCTCGCCTTCTTGCAGTCGCTCTTCTATTGGACCCGTAGTTGAAGCCGCTGCGTGATCCTTCTTGTGAAGGGTCTTCTTCTTGCTGACTCTTCACTCTATCAAGCACGATGCCATTCCCGAGGGACTCTGACCCTGTGTTGGGCAGGGTTCTCTAGAAGAGTGGTGCTCAACCTTCCTATTGCTGCAACCCTTTAATACAGTTCCTCATGTTGTGGGGACCCCCCTCCAACCATAAAAATATTTTCATTGCTACTCAATAACTGTAAGTTTGCTACTGTTATGAATCGGGAGACCCCCATGAAAGGGTTGTTTGACCCCCAAAGGGGTCATGACCCACAGGTTGAGAACTGCTGCTCTAGAGAAACGAAACCAAGTATGTAGATAGATATATACAGCATAAAGGAATATAACAGCTAATTAGCCCACACAGCAGTACAGAAGACTCAGTTCAACTCGCTTCTGTTAATATACTAGAAGTCCTGGAAATGGATTATCAAATGCAGCAGAAGAGTAGGGTGTTGTGGAGGGAACGGTGGGTGTCTGAAAGAGTAGACAAGAATGGAGCGTGGAGGCATGTCTGACCTCTGCCTAATGGACCTTGGGCTTGTGTGGAGCTAGATTACCTTTTCCCTTGAGTAGCCAAAGGAGATTATGACTCTACATTGATTTAATTTTGGAATGGTATATCTAATAATCATCACTAAGACCATAACACATGAACCATATAGATAATCAA